TAAATGAGAATAATGATGAACGAAAATAAATAATAATGTAATAATTTTTTTTCCTTGTTATTATTGTATTTTCTTACAAATAATAAAAATATTTAAAAAAAGGAAAAAAATTATTATATTATTATTTATTTTTGTCCATCATTATTCTCATTTATTATTATATTTGCAAATGACAAATTTGTATTGACTTGTCAAATAAAAAGAATTAAAACTATATTACTTAATTATAAAAAGTGTTCACAATTTGGAAACGCAATAAAAATAAGATCAACGTTATTTTCTGTGTTCCCAATTGCGAACACTTTTTTCTTAATTGGCTTAATTTTTGTTCGCAATTTGGACATAGCCTAAAAATGAATGTTAAAAAGATATTTGAGTATTTTATTGAGTTTATACAGAGTTTCAGTGCTAATAATATTAACATTCATTCTCTTATTTAAAAATAGTTTCGGAACTCAATGTTAGTAGTATTATAAAACTTCATCAATGGAAAATATGTAGAAAGTTCTATTTCAATAACAAGTCTACAGCTAAAATAAATGTAATTCAATACTGTAAACGTCAATATTATTTAGTAAAATTTTTTTTCATACGATTACTCGAAATGACTCATCTTCATGTTGTCGATATGTGGCATTATTTGCACAATGCATTAAAGTATGGTAGAGCAAGCTTTACATTATCGAAATGGTTTCTCGTTGTAATACGTAGTTGAAGTAGACAATTCAATCAAAATAAGCGAAATAATACATTTTTATTAAAAATGGAACTCTTTGATGTCACTTCTTCTGAACTCAATCACTAAACTTTAAAAAAGAAAATCGTTCGATAATGCAAGTACTTTAAAATAAAACAAAATGCCTGTGAATTCTAGATGTTTTTTTTTTTCGACAGAAATTACATAACCAAATACAATGTTTAAGAAATTTTTTCAATGTTCACCATGAGTTTTCACTTTCTCATCAGACAATATTTGACTAGATTGCTGACAATTACGAGTATCCTTGTAAAACAAATGTCCTTCATGGAAAATGGTTTGAATAAGATAGTCCTTGAAAACAAATGTCCTTCTTTTAAATAGTTGTATGTAATAACTTTTCAATTAAGATTTGTCTCATTTTCTTTAATATTTGAAATTTTCAGAATGAATAAAGTTTTGTTTTTTTGAAATGGTTGCAATTAATTTATGATCATCGATTTCAACAAAACAAGTTCATGCTTTCTTGCAAAAGTTAGGAAAAACAAACAATAATTAAAATTTAGTTAAAATCTTAGTCTTTTTTTTATCAAATATATCATATATTATTATATTAGCTTGTTTGATTTTAATTCATGTCATAATACTATGTATGTTACAAAGATCAGAAAAAAAATTCAATAGCAACCACTTTTTTATTTTAAGAATTATTAGAGAAAAGAAAAGTCGAGTTCATAAAAAAATACTTTCAAACAGAAGACACAACGCACACATTAATACATCGTCAATATATTTCAGCAAATCTTTAGTTTTGTTACTAAATGATTACTAATATTATAAAAAAATAGTTAGTTTTTGTATTCATATACAATTGAGAAAAGAAAAAAGGATTTTAAGAAAAAAAATGTCTTTGCAGTGCATATAAAAATTAGCATAAAAAAAAACATAATACGCTCCCTTTTCTAAAAATGAATCCTTACATTACAACTTACATTATTCACTGTTCGAGATATATGAAAATGGTTTATTTTTGTTTTTCTTTGTATGTTTGTGCAAAGCAAACCTGATTTAGGGTGGAAAAGATGTTAAAAAAAAATAAAGCAGAAGAAAAGCAAAAAGAATAGGAATTGGAAGCTAACCATGAACTAATCTATTGAAATTCTAAATAAATTAAGTTTCAAAAATTCTAATCTTGCGTGAGTCGAAGATTTCTTTCGAGTACATCATCATCATCGATGTGTCCATCTGAATAACGATATGATGAATAATAATGATGCCATGGACGAGAACTCTGAAGAAAATTTTATTTCAATTTTTATAAGAAAATCCAAGAATTTTTCTTACATATGAACTTAGATTACGACGAAGAGTATTAATAACTTTATCACTAAGATCAGCTGCTGGTGAATAGCGATAACGATAACGAAATGAATCACGGAGTAATGTAGGACTCGTTAATTGCCGTGGTGGACTACTGTAATAGATATCTGAAAATGAAAAATTAGATTGTCAAGTTAAAAGAATAATGTTGAAGTTAATCACAACAACTATGAGAGTAGAATCACAAGGATAGGAATTTACTAAAATTACTTAATGAATATGACTTACGTTTTGAAATCATGATAAACTGATACTAGAAAAGCAAAAGATTTTTTTTTTATCCATGTTTTCTCTTTTTTTTAATAATTTACTAGTTTTAAAGAGTTGAACCTCTAGTTATGAACTATTTGTCGACAACAATCTAGAATATCTTACCATTATCTCCTGTATAATCTTGATAATCATTATATAAATATTGTGAAGGTGATCGTGAACGACGAGATGGTGACAGTGAACGAGCTCGTCCACCTGTTGAACTGAAACTTCGACCAAGAACAGGAGAAAGTGATCGAGAACGATTGAAATCACCATCAAATGAATTTAATGAGGCTGAAGTTTCCGGTCGTGCTAGCGTATAATTATTAATAACTAAACCATCTTTAAATATAGTATGAGATTTTGGTTTACGACCAATAAGATCATTAGTAACCTATGATATAATTTTTATTTTTCTTTTTTAAATCAATAAACTTTCCTACATGTCGAACAACAAATGGTGGCCGTCCCTTTGTTTTATCAATAGGAGTTACATAATTAATATCTCGATCAACAGCTAATTCACGTAATTTTTCTTGAGTTTCTTGTTGTCCATAATCATGTCTTAGTGCTGATGACATTGTATGTGATGTTAATGAACGTGAAACATTTGCCGAATCATTCAAACGAGATCTATGCAATCATCATCTTAACTTTAAAAAGGCAAACTGAATAAATAATAAACATGATTTACCGAGTTGAATATGCAGATGGTGGTTTCCAAGCGGGTGATGTCGATCGTTTTGGCTATTCATAAAAACAAATTTTTCTTTGTTCATAAAAGAAAAACTATAGAAATCTTACAAGTTTTATTTCTCCACGAGTTTTTGTTGTTGGTAATGTAAGACCAGTTACATCAACAATAGATGGACTCGTACTAAATTCAAAACTAGGTGAAATTCCAGGAAAATCAATTGTTCGAGTAAGAAGAATATAACGACGTAAACCCGTATATTCAATACGATTCGATGAATATGGATAAAGAAAATCTTTTGCACGTATTTCATAACTAGCCAAAAGAATAGGTGATGGAATATCATTTTGAATTAGTTCAATAAGAACATGTTCACCTAATTTTGAAAAAAACAAAAAATCGTTATTCAATTTGATTTGTTTTATTTTCTATTGTCTTAAGAAGCTTACGTTCAAGTCGTTCAATTATTTCTTCAGCATCATAACAAAATTTAAAAACCTACATGTATATATTTATTTTTGTTTGAGAAATTTTTCCAAGACTTACTTTATCAAAAAAAAGTTTTTGATCAATATGCATTGGTAAATGAGGTGGCATTAAACGTGTTCGTTTATGCACACCCAATAGACATATATTTAAATAAATATCACCTGTTCTTCCTAAATGAGTACCGGGTGCATCAACAGCATGAATATTAAACTCAACTGAATATCTATAATCTTTGCTTGGCGTTGCCATTACTACTGTTCTTCAAAGGGTATTGAAATAATAATGACGATGAAAAAAAAAATTTCACAAGTGTCTGTTACAACCGCAAAGAAGCTAGCGTGACGCAGCCATAGGTAAATAAGATTGTTTTTGTAACGATGACAGCCATTATTCTATTTTGCTTTTAAAATTATATTATACATAAATAAAATATAAGAGATGATTTTTAATTAATAATTTGAGAAAATTTTAATAAAATAAATCGTTGAAAAAACTAGCGACATCTTTCAATAATTGAAAATAATTTTTAATAAACATAAAAATTAATTTAGAAAATATTTGAAATTTTTCTCAATGATATTTATTATTCTGAAATTTATCGAAGACTCATATAAGTATCCAATGGTGAAACATTGTCATATGAAAAGAAACAAATGTTGTTTTTGTTCATTCGTTTACACCTTTGTTTATTTCTATCCAAAGTCAATATAAATCTTATTGATATATTTATAGACATTTTTACACAGATTTTTACTTTTAAAAAGAATGACAGATGATATAAAAGATTCATCTAAAGAACTCGATTCATGGATTGAACAACTAAAAGAATGTAAACAATTACAAGAGAATCATGTAAAATTTCTTTGTGATCGAGCCAAAGATATTCTATCGAAAGAGTCCAATGTACAAGAAGTTCATTGCCCAGTAACAGTCTGTGGTGATGTACATGTAAGAAAATTGATGAAATATTTTTTGTTTTCATTTCATCAATATTGTTTGTTTTTTTTCTATAGGGACAATTTCATGATTTAATGGAACTTTTTAAAATTGGTGGTAATGCACCTGATACAAACTATTTATTTATGGGAGATTATGTTGATCGTGGTTATTATTCAGTTGAAACTGTCACACTACTGGTCGCATTAAAAGTTCGTTATAAAGATCGAATAACAATTCTTCGTGGTAATCATGAATCTCGACAAATTACACAAGTATATGGATTTTATGATGAATGTTTAAGAAAATATGGCAATGCTAATGTATGGAAATATTTTACAGATTTATTTGATTATCTTCCATTAACAGCTATTGTTGATAATCAAATATTTTGTTTACATGGTGGACTTAGTCCATCAATTGATACATTAGATCATATTCGAGCTTTAGATCGAATTCAAGAAGTTCCACATGAAGGACCTATGTGTGATTTATTATGGTAAATTTTGTTTTATTAACAAGATTTGTTATCCTAATAATAGTCTCACTTACATAATTTAACAGAAAAAAAAAACTTAAAAGTTCATAATAAGAATAAGCAATTGCCCCGTACATAAGGTTATTAAACAAAATCAAAGACGAATTTTTAATTGATTCGTTTTATTTTTCTAGTGTCAATCATAGAAGCTACTCAGTTAAACTATTCTTTGGAAATACGTTTTTGCATATTTTTCAAGAGTGGCAGGGGCTAGAACATCAAGAGAAAGTACTTACATTCATTATTCCACCCTGAGGCCCTTCCTCAGTCCTATTCATCTCGCAGCTAAATTGTGCATCTGTTTTAAAATCCGATTTATTTCCAAAGTTACAACGAAGCCGTAATAAATTGGAAAAAAGTCGGACGTTTTTTGCAGTGGGACGGGATCGAGTCCACATAAGGACTACGTATACTTATACTGACTCTTTTATTGACATTTGTTTTAAGGTCGGATCCAGACGATCGTGGTGGTTGGGGTATTTCACCTCGAGGAGCTGGTTATACATTTGGACAAGA